CCGCCCAGGTGAGATTCTGGGGAAGTCGGGCGGGGGTTGCCTCCCGTCCTGCTGGATGAACGGCCGGGGCCGGGCCGGGCAAGCCGGTAAGCGCCATTGTTGGCCTCCGCAGATCTCGGAGCCTCCGGGTGCTTTACCCCGGTTCTTCAGGGGCCTTTCACCCGTAAATTCTCTCTGGGCCTCAGCCCCTCCCGCAGAATCCCCAGTCTCCGGGCCTGCCCACTGTGCGCCGTGCAAGACCTGTCTTCCCCTATGCGTCTCTGTGCAGCAGCTGCTGCTGCTTCTCTGGCTGAGCCTGCCACGCCCTAGCTCTTTGTCGCGGGGCTAGCCTGTCCCAAGCATCTTCACTCTCTGTTCCCTCCAGATGCCTTTGGCTAGATTTCCCTGCGGACAGCATGGCTGTTTGCGTCTCCAGTCTCTATCAGATGTTGTCTGCATCACCCCCAGACACCATACTCCTTTCTAAGAGCTCCCTTTTCCTGTTTTTCTCTCCTATCTTCAGATCCTCTTCCATGTTGTCTTCACCCCCTATTTTCTCAATATAGTGTCACCAACCTCACTGTGGTAATTATCCGTCCTTTTTTCCTGGACAATCAATTCCAGACGCATTTCCCATATATATACTTTTACCACAGATGTGGGTGTAATACTCTTTGGTGCCATAGTGACAGGCACATTAGAAATACAGTATCCAGAACAGTGTTCTCATACATATATACACTGTTCTTCTGTTGCACACAAATCTCAGTTACTCCTTCATCTGATTTGTAGCTAAAGACAGACTTGAGTTTTAGGATTGTGCAGGTTTAGTATTGTGCAGGAGGGAGGAATTAAATGATCTCCTTGCAGTACTTATCACATAGTTTTTTTTCTTCAAACTTTAAAAACTTATAGTTGTGAATAAGAGTCCTGTAAGTTTTTGTACATTTGTTAAATGCATGTTCTGCTTCAAGTTGTATTTCATTATTTAGAAGTGTATTTAGTGGCAAGAGTGTCCTGGGGAGATGAGTTGTTGCTTTATCATCAATTTGCTTTAATGTCTTTGAAAAAGGGGATAATAATGTGTTAGGCTTTGATTTTTCTCATGTCTTATTTATCCTATATTTCAGGGATGGGGAACCTACGGCCCAGGGGCTGGATGCTGCCCCTGGCTTGCCTGGATCCAGCCTCCTTAGCACTACTGGTATTCTAATGCCCCCCATTTCCCTGTGGGGCTGAAGCACGCACAGTCTACTAGCCTGGGCCCCTGTAGCCTTTGGTGTGCAAGGGGAATGTGGGGAGTGTTTTCTCTTTCGCAGTTGGAACGTGGGGAGCAACTCTTTCCTTTTTGCTTCTCACTTGTGTATGGCCCATGACTGACTTTTCTGTGGGTCAGCAGCCCCCAACTCCGAAAACTCCTGCTGTTCAAAGAAACAGTTCCTGTAAGGTTTTCAGTTGCAAATCTTGGGGATGTGAATTCCTATTTCATATATCAGTTAACACTTAAGTATTGAACCTCATTTTGTGAAGCTTGATTAAAATAACCGGCAGGAAACCTATACATTAACAGTTGTCTACACTTCAAATCATTCCATGTTTAAAGTTGATAACATTTCAGTAAGAGAAAATTTGAAAGCAAATAAGGATACATTTTCTCTCCTGATAACTAAATGTGTCTGTCAAAGAATAATTTAAATTTAAAATTTAAAGCACTATTTTTTGGGATTAAAAGTTTAAAGAATTAAATTCACAGACTTTTTGTGGTTTGCACTGCAAATCAGTGTTGTTACTATTATGACAAATTTTGAATAGCTGCCAGCTTGTATAACTGAAATGGTAATTACATATGACAAAGGTGATTATATCAAAAGAAACTTAAGTATCACTTGAAAATACCACAAGGCACATGTCAGTTGAAAATCACATTTACATAAATTCAAGGTTTGACAATCTGTGCTGCTGTAACACATTACTTAGGCTGCCTTTGGAATTATACTTTTACTTTCAGAACATAGAAAAAAATGCTTTTATGAAGACATAGACAAGTTGAAGGAGAGTGGTGAAGCACTGGAATGAGTTACCTAGGGAGGTGGTGGAATCTCCATCCCTAGAGGTTTTTAAGTCTCGGCTTGACAAAGCCCTGGCTAAATTGAGTTAGTTGGGATTGGTCCTGCTTTGGGCAGGGGACTGAACTTGATGACATCCTGAGATCTCTTTCAGCTCTATGATTTTATAAGTTCAGTTACTCATTAAAAGTAATAAAGGTTTTTTTAACATATAAAACTAAAAATCTTTCAGAATGGCTACAGGTTGGTTTTTTTTACCAGATTGCTGCTCTTTTTCTATAGTAATCCATTTTAAAGCTCTTTGCATGTTAGTAATAAGGCCTTGAAACTAGACATATCTACTTTAGCGTTTTTGTCAATTAAACTTGTAAGGGATGTTGGAAAAAACCAACCCCTACCAACATAAGTTTTGCCTGTGAAAGCACTGTGTGGTCAGGAGATGCCTTCCCACTGACATAGCTACTGCACTTCCTGAGAGTGATTTTATTTATAGAGTAGCTACATATGAGACCTTGCAACAGTGCATCTATGCCAGTGTAAGGTTTGTGGTGTAGACCAGACATGTCAGACTCAGAGCCTACTGAGGGCTGCACAAATGAAAACTGATAGCTTTTAGGACCACAAAAAATAAAATACAGGACTATGTAGCACTTTAAAGACTAACAAGATGGTTTATTAGATGATGAACTGGGGAGTCTCCATCTGATCCCAGGTTCTGGGGAAATGCAATGGGGAGCGCAGGATCAGCTGGGGAGTCCCAGCTCCACGTGGTATTTCAAATTGGCAGCACAGCATGGAGCCTGGAGTCAGCGGGGGATTCTCAGTCCCCCTGCTGACCCTGGGCTCCATGCTACACTGCAGCTTTGAAATGTACAAGAGCCCCCACTAGGGACTCTTGTACATTTCAAAGCTGGCACACAGAGTTCCACATTCCTCCTTTGAAATGTACAGGAGCCCCTGCTGGTGTAGCCTATCAAGTTACTTGCCTATCATGCTAATAATATTGTTGTGTTAATTAAGATGAATTAGGTAATAGTTAAGAGCTGTAATGCAAGAAATCTGCACAATGTGCCCTGCCTGCCCATTGCCTCAGACTGGAGCAACTGGGGGGTGGCATATCTATCTGGCCAGAGGGCTACACTCGGGGGAGTGGGAGGCAGGCATTGTAAAGCTGCTCTCAGCATTCCCGCATGCCCTTTGGGTTAGCTTGACTGATATCTGAGTTCACGTGTAATACACTAGACTTTATGTCTGTCTGCCCATTGCAGTTTGTGATGGCCCACTGAATAATACCACAGCAGCGCTCAACTCCTTTGGGGGCCTTTCCCATTGACCCACCTGGGTACAGGTGTGTGCCCCTTCTTAGCTGGGGCCAGGACATGTTTGTATATACGAGTCTAGCAAGAGCCCCAAATTAGTGATCCTGTTGCTTGTACCTGTCTGTGTGCATTCTCTGCTTGTCTTCCCCCCCACAGTCAACCACAAGCCTGTTGGTGTCATGCACTGCCTGGGCTATGTGGCAGACCAGATGCCATTAGGTGTAGGAGCAGCATGGGTGCAGTACAGTCCAGCCCAAGGGCTGTCTGGTGAATTGGGTTCCCCTGCAGTGCCACTGGTGCCTGTTTTAGGGTATAACAAAATGGTTCTGCCTCTGAATGCACTTTTCAGTGTGTGCCATGTCTGCATTATTACCAATTAGAGGTCAGGGTTTCACTTGAATGAAAAAACACACATAAGCTCACAGTCCAGGTCAAGTAATATGGGGTTATATTTTATCTTTTGTCCATGCTGTAACTGGCAGTTGCAAAATCAGCAGAAGCTGAGGTTAGCAGATTTCCGTGCTAGATCCTGGTCATAGCTTATTTATTGTTTCCCAGGATTGAAAAGGGGAACTTAGGTATGGGACCTTTCACGCCACAAGAGGGTAGGAAAATTACCCTTATACTCAGCAGATGCATCATTATATAAAAGTCCCAAAATAATTTGTTCAAGCTGAGTTAAGTAATCAGGACACAGATTGCGATAGATAACCACAGAGGCCCATGGCAACAAATTGACTTATATGATGATAAGTTGAGTGCAATGATACATTGACCAATAGAAAAAGAACACTTCAACATTAGAAACATTCCCTTCTGAATATGCATAAAACATGTCAATATCAGCATCACGTACTATAAAAGTGGGACCCAAGCCAAGGGGCGATAGGGAGAAGATGTAGTCCTTGGAAGGGCCAGTATGATTGCTTCTGGTGATGGGGAAGGTGAAGGTAATGAACTATATGATGGGCTAACACCTAAGATTGTTCTAAAAGGAATGATGTAAGTATATGGTATGGTACATTCCCCATCTTATGAAATTGGGGTGTTTATGACTCTAACCATATTAATAAACTATATTTGTAAATATACAAGAGTTTCTATAGTGTGAGTGTTGCAACCATGCTCATCAGGGTTCCCAATCATAGAATAATTGAATACTGGGCCTGATCCTGGCACGAAGAACCTGTTGACCCTAAAGGTGGGTAATTAGAATTTAAACATAATCTTAGATCAGGCTACATTGCGGCTCTTAGACATTTCCACATTTCTCCTTTGAAATGTACATCGAATAGTCAATGGAAATTCCATCAACTACTCAACTAGACATTTTATCGATATTTAACATTCTTAGTAGACAGATCCTAATATTAATTGCTATATCTACCTGTTTACCACTTCACATTACCACAGTTTGAAATGGTGCGGTGATAATAGTTATAACGTGCACTTGAAGTGTATTCTCTAATTGTTGCACATTTCAGAAAGATTGCATTGACCTTAAATAATTCAGTACTGTCTGGAATGTATTTCTTCTATGTTCCATAGAAGGATTATAATATTTGCTTTTACTATATATTAAACTTGTTGAATCACCAGACAGCAATAAATGTAGGATTTTTGCTATTTATATAAAGCATAAGAGGTCTTAGGTAGATGGCTGTACTGGTTCTTTGACTTAGGCTCTGGAGAAGTGCTCAGAGCAGCATTCATTCCTTGTTGCATTAAATTACTAATACATAATCCTTACAAGAATCATCAACCAACAGGTGAGGCCTGTTGGACAAAATCATTTGGCATAGATTACACTTATAGGAAAAGTTCAAGAAATTAAATATATGTAATTAAGAAAATTTTTTATGTGCTTGGAAAAGGAAAGTAAAAGAACAGTTTTAAACGTGTAGGATTTCAACTTCAAACTTCAATTATTCATTTTATTGAATAATTACAATAAATAGTAAATTTGAATCAGGAATTTGTAAAAACTTGTATTACTTTTTCTATAACTAATTTGAATTATTTTGTGATTTTAACTGTAAAAATGTTCTTTGCACTAAAATGGCAATTGAATAGGTGACATGGGATGTTGGATATTGGTTAATTGAATAGTTGAACTGCATGAATTCCTATCAGTTATTCAACTATTTTGTGGTCCCCAGGGGCAGGGCCAGCAGCCAGTGTGCCCCAGCTCCATTCCTGGGAGTCCCCTGATAATCCATGCTGCTTCCTCTGTATCCTAGGCAGTAGCTCAGGGTACCAGGTGGGAGCCAGTCCACAAGGGGAGCCAGTTTAAAAAACAGCTCCCCGTGCAGATTAGCTGCCAACTGCCCCACACTGCTGCCCCTGATAGAGAAGCAGCAGTGAAGGGTGGCAGGAGCCCTGTTTATGGGAGATCTGAGCTTTCCACGGACAGAGGCTGCTGTTGGGGAGGCCGATAGAGCCTCTGGCTACATGTCAACATCCCTATAGGAGACTCAACTTTAACAAATATTTTTTATGAACTCTAATCATAAAAGTCTTAACTTTTTTCTGGTGAAAAACAATAATAATTATTTAAACCAGTGTTTCTCCAAGTAGTCCACAGACCCACTCTTGACAGAGCTGCTCCTGGGCATTTATTTTTGGCTCTGAAGCCTCAGAGCCTCAACTCCCATTGCAGTTCAGTGTTTGAGAAACTCTGATTTAACCATTCACCCAGCATATTCTGGTGTAAAAAGTGGTGCATTCAAGCTAATTTAAGTGGCAGGATTGTTTATGTGAAATTTGGTATCTGTAGGTAATCGTGAAGTGTGACTTTATTTTGTACAAACAGATCAACAAAAACTTTTCAAAATATATAGTAGATATTCATTACCCAGAAGTCTGTACATTTAGCTTTACAGGCAGTCCCTGACTTACACGGATCCGACTTACATCGGATCCGCAGTTACGAACGGGGGCTTTTCTCGCCCCGGAGGACATGGACTGCGGAACCTCGCGGTCCCGCCGCCCGTGTACTCCGGGGCGAGAAAAGCTGCTCCGCGTCTCCCTGGTCTGCAGACCAGGAAGAC